CTGTCGTTTCACATATAATTTATTAAGTAATTAACTAATTAATGACTTCACTATTTACCTCCGTTCAAGGACCACGGCAAATTAAATGTGGAAAATTGCAATTTTGCTGAATGTACATTCAAATTCAAATTCAAATTCAAAGTTTATACTCTATAAGGATTACAATGTTTGATTTTACAAAATTTGGTTCTTTTGTGGTTTACATGTTGTAAAATGTGAATTACAGAGTGTACCACTAGAACCTTAGCATGGCTAAGGCATTTCGGGCAGACTTAGTTTTATTTCTTACTTTGTAAAATATTACAAATTATGAGTAAGTAGTATTATGGCAAAGTGACTAAATACTAGTTTGTGAGTTTAGCAATGTGAATGCTTTGTTTTGCACAGTACCTAGTTTTCACATGTATTGGAATATCACAGGATTCATATTTAAGATTGAGATTAATATTTCTGCTTATGGTCAAATGAGTGAGTGTAAGATGTGAACCACCAGGTGGTATTCTGTAGTTAGTTGACGGGGTGTATCAGGGAGATAAGATGTTTTCTAATGGTAGTTTTGAAGGTGATGAATGTGTCTGCAGTTCTAGAGTTCACAGTTAGGTATTCCAGATTTTAGGACCCTTTGACATACAATGAATTTTTGTACAGGGATAGTCTACACGAGGGGAATTCGTAGAGATTTTTGTGTCTGGTGTTAAGCCTGTGGGTTCTGTCCACAACTATCATAAAGCATTTAAGTCAAGGGCTGATATTAGAGTTTAAGGACCTTAGAATAGATTGCACAGTAGTAATGTGGATGTACGAACAGGGAGTACGTTTAGGACTATGAAGAGTGGGGGTGTGTTGCCAGGATGGGATTTGGTGAATATTCTTATGCAGCTTTTTGTGGGTTTAATTATTGCTTAAGGGTGTGTAGCTGAGTTGATCCCCAAGCACAAATAGCATAGGTAGGTATGGATTAATAGTGAGTGGCATTTTGCGGCACGTAGTATCGTTATTCTTGGAGATGAATCCCAACCGTTTTGGATACTGTTTTTGGTTATATGCTGGATATGGGTGCTGAAAATCAGGTTTGTTGGTCAAGTATAAGCCTAGGAGGAATTTGCCCCCATTATTTCTGGTAATTAGCGTGTTGTCATCATAATGTTAATTTGTGCATCTCCTGCTCTGCTACCAAACATACTATAGTAGGTTTTGTCATGTGTTATGCTAAGTTTTTATTGGCTGTCCCATCCAAGCGATATTTTGATCAGCTCCTCATTCACAGTGGTGTTGAGGGTGGCAGATTAGGGTGAGAGAATGACATAAGTCGAGTCGGTCAGCAAATAGATGGGTTACAGGTGAAGGGATACGTTTGGAAGGTCATTGATGTATATAGACGAGCATGGGACCAAGGACACTTCCCTGCGGAACTCCAGTATCAATTGGCCGTGTTGCTGATGCTTGGTCCTTTAATGAGTGAACATAACTGATACCCTATTAGTAATGTAAGGATTTGAAATAAAGCAAGTGGCAGGCCTCTTATACCGTAATTATATACATAACATTAAAAGAACCAAGAAATTAATATTTATCATTAGACAAGTAGGAATTTGGTACACATAGGTCGGAAAAAATGTCCCCCTTCGATACCACCACTGTCCATATCCACAAGTTGCTCTGGACCTCTTAAATACAAATGAAAAAATACACACCAGGAATGCGGTAAATATTAAATTTGTGGGACTGTATATTAAAAATAATAATGGTTAAGATATACACAATTACATAACAAGGAAAATATATCTTAATAACAGAACACTACCAAATTGACTGGAAATCAGGGTGTAATCATAACTTGAAAAATACCAACTGGCCAGAGTTATAACAAAAAACAACTTATCTGAGTTCCTGGAGGCAGTCTTGTTCCAGTCCGCTGATATCTCAAGTTATGCAGGAATGCACATCCTACAATTTTGCCTCCAATTTGAGAGGTGTCAGCCTCAATTTTAACCTCTGAGCACGAAAATTCCTTCACATCCCATTACACAAATGTTTTGTATCCAATTCAAATTAACAATGGCGATGTCCTTCTGCGGCAGACCGCAGGCTTTCCGTTTTCTTCTATGACATAAATATTATTAAATACAGTATGGCCATCTATTTTCTATAACTAACAGTATTTTCCCCCTTGGAAAAAAAAAAAAAAAAAATATATACAGTATTTTCCACATTTCCTATCTGGAATACTGTGTATTCACTGAAAATAATTAAATTCACGAAGCTTCTCTAGCCTACCTGGCCTGCCTGTAAATTAACTGCAAATCACAACGGTTCTGTGTACCTTTGTAATCTTTGACTACCGCCCACAAGGATGGTATGTGTGCCATAAAGATATAAACTAAAGTGTGGTTGGGTGTGTGTGTTGTGTGAGTGTGGTGTGGTGTGTGTGTGTGGTGTGTGTGTGTGTGAGTGTGTGTGTGGTGTGTGTGTGTGTGTGTGGTGTGTGTGACTCAACAATCAATATTTGCACCAATAACTCATTACAGTTTGTGACCGTGTGGAAAGAGGTGAATTGCTCATTACTCTCTAATTTGTTCATGATTGTAGCCAAAGTATAAACTAAGTTAACCATCGACAGAATTCATTAACTTTGTAACTTTGTGAGCTCATTACCTTTGTACCTAGTTTCAGCTATCAAAACTTTGGGGCCCAGTCCCTGGAACCCATTACGTACCTCTGAAATCTGTAAATACCTTGTAACTTGTCATGTTTGTTGACCAGACATACTGGAGATCATTACCTTTGTAATTGTGAGTCATTACCTTTGTAAATTGTGAGTCATTACCTTTGTAAGAATAGTGAATTCATTACCACTGTAACATGCTCAGCTAACAAAACTTTTGAGTCCTAGTCCCTGGACCAATTATGTACCCTGTAATCTTTTGACTACCGCCACAAGGATGGGTATGGGTGCATAATAAACATATTAAACTAACTGTGGTATAGTCAGCATGGCCGAGCCTCTGTTTAACTCTGGGCCAAGCGTACTACACTTAACCTAGCTCTGTTAAACTGGTTCCTAACTGTGGCCTAGCAATGTTAATTTTAACCTCAGAATATTTCACATCCCGTTCAAAGGACCACTTGTGAAAATTTGTCTGGACTTGCTCCCGTGAGTCGCCTACCCTGGCAGCTCTGTTGACACGAGCCTGAGGTCGGTAACATCAGCCCTCACAAGTGGCATAAAGGAATAATTTCATAATGACTGAATGTTGCAAAAAATCTCGCCTGAATGGCATGTTTAAAGGACTACTTAACTGGATGATGTATAAGCTATTCTGGTCTTCAACCTCCCCTAAGCTTAGCCCCTTGGACTTCCCCTCAGAAACCACGTGCAACCAGGAGCCTTAATTCCTGCAAATATTCAGCCCGAATAATTATGACCTGCGCTGCACCTCAGAAATTCCTGTAATCCAAGAGGGTGTTTATCCCCTAGTATAACATACAGAAAACGGACAACTAGCTTCTAGGTCGACAAAGACAAAGTACGTTACTGGTCATGAACTGCCGGCATGCAACAAAGGCCTACAGCTCAACTCACCTTCGCAACTTTCCCCAGACACTGGCCATATCCTAAGAAAAAGTGGAGGTCTTTGTCATACTGTATGGGCCTGACGGAGGAGGACATCTACGGTACGTCGAGGTGCCCCTCCACCAGATTTCCCCAGTCGCATAAGTGAAGACACGTGGGGGCGCTGCCTGCTGACACGGCACGTGTTGTTCAGATGGTTCTAGTCATAGAAGAAAGCTCTGGTATCGTTCGAGACCCGCGCCTCGTCATTCAAACTTGGCTGCAAGTTCTCCCTAGCTAACATAACTAGTGTTTTTGCCTACATTCGCCTATTACTACCTATGTTTAATGTCTTAGGTCTAAATTATTATTATCTACAGTTGCCTCAATAATCCTAATATTAGTGTACTAACAGTATAAACTACCTACTTCCTTCCCTGAAAGGGTAAATCTATCAATTAAGAATACCTCCAACACACCTTCGCCAACCCGTGGTGAGTGTGTTGTGTGTTGGGAGGGTGTAAGGGCCCTCGACCGGTGTGTTTTTCCCCGTTGGGACTTCTCGAACCGAATAAGTTCCAACACGCCTAACTATTAAAATAATCTTTCACTTGATTAACAGGGAAATCAGTGTACCTTCAACCCACTAACCACTGAAGTACAGTCGTCCGTGGAGAACATAAATCGATTTCCTACCTTCCACATCTCTATTAACTCCTCCTCATCTTCCTTCTTCTTCCTGAACGTGAACCACTTGCCACTTAAAGCGGCTGCCACTATAACTGCTGGTGACCATTCCTTCCTTACCAGCTAAATCCTTCTCACACTCGCTCCCAAACTCATCTATGCGAAGCTTCAGCTTCCTATTTTCCTCCTGAAGAAGTAGAATCTCCTTCTTCAACACATGAACCTGGGATTCTAAAGCACTACAACAAGCCATAGTATGGGTAACAGCCCACGCTCGGTCTTCAAAATTGGCAGTAAGATATTCTAATCTAGACACTATTTGTGAGCAATTTTATAAACTTGATTTAACTTCAGTTGTTTTACTCTATCTTCAACATTCAGTATATCCAGCTGCTGTAATTCATCCTGGCCAACATGTTCTCTGGGACTCAGGTCCAGGATCAATCTTACTACTGAGTTTCCGTTTCTGTTTATAAAGAAACGCCGTTCCCATTTCTTTCATGGCTCAAAGGTGGACTTGTTTTGGTTATCCTATGTAATTTACACTACATATGTTAATAATATTTATATGTACCTGTGCCTAAATAAACGTACTTACACATTATTATTATAAAGGGGAAGCGCTAAACCCGTAGGATTATACAGCGCTTGTGGGGGTATGCGGAAAGTATTCAGGCTTAATTTAGGGAACTGAAACAGATCCAATTCCCTTGATCAAGAGCCACTCACCAGCGTCAAGGAACCTCCCTTGAAGGGATATACTTCCAGAGGGAAGCAAGGCGTGATACAAGTTAAGCTGTCAGTGGCCCTGATAAACCCAACAAACTACGTGTCCATTACTTTTACCTGTGCCACCTGACCTGCTAGTTTATTAAATATATAAGTTTATTTAGGTAAAATTTACACAAGTACAATTACATAGGCTTTGGGCGATCACAAGGACCTTAACAGAGGTAAGTCACTTTGTCAGACAAACTTAATGTAGTTCCATTGGGCTGTTTGTGCACCCGTGTGCTCATCCTGTTAGCGGTAGGGCAAAAAATAAGATAACAGATTACAGTGAGTAGTAGACCCCACTGGGTGTCGTTATATATAAAATTCCTTGCTTTCTTTGATTATAATAATAATATATATAAAATTATATTAATTCATTTCATATATGTATTACAATTTTCTATATAGTACGTGGCTAACGCTCTGGCTTCACAGGGCGACCCCTCAAGGAAGGTTCCTTGATGTTGGTGAGGGGCTCTTGATTTAGGGAATTGGATCTGTGCTCCAGTTCCCCAAATTAAGCCTGAATGCCTTCCACATCCCCCCAGGCGCTGTAAAATCCTACGGGTTTAGCGCTTCCCCTTGATTGTAATAATAATAATTCACAGGGCAATGGCTTGGGTTCGATTCCCAGCCAGAGTAGAAATATTGGGGGTGTTTCTTTCCACCTGTTGTCTATGTTCATCATCAGTAAAATGGGTACCTGGGTGTTAGTCGATTGGTGTGGGTTGCATCCTGGGACAGACCTAATTTGCCTGAAATGCTGGGCATAAGGGGCTTTCTATATAGTACTATGGCATTGATGTCAGCTAGGCCTGTATACCATGTACATGTACTTGTAGTAAATAAAGATATTATTATTATTATTATTACAAACAAACTTATAAAATTTAAATGTTAAGTCTAAAAAACAAATAGTCATTATTGGGTTTGCAATCTCTTGATAAATAATTCATTCATTTAGTCAGTGGAAAAGAAAAAGTAGACACAGTTTCAAGATTACAGATAAATTATCATTAACGATGAAGGCTGTATGACCCTTGTGGGTTTATATCTTGATTTTGATTGTAATAATAATAATAATTAACAAGTAAGTGTTTTTCCATATCTTCTAGGGTTTGTGTGGAGGTCTCTGCAAGGTTGGATGTTTGGATACTGAGATGTAGTGTTCCAGTTTACCTGGAGTTTACCTGGAGAGAGTTCCGGGGGTCAACGCCCCCACGGCCCAGTCTGTGACCAGGCCTCCTGGTGGATCAGAGCCTGATCAACCAGGCTGTTACTGCTGGCTGCATGCAAACCAACGTACGAGCCACAGCCCCGGCTGGTCAGGAACCGACTTTAGGTGCTTGTCCAGTGCCAGCTTGAAGACTGCCAGGGGTCTGTTGGTAATCCCACTTATGTATAGCTGGAGGCAGTTGAACAGTCTCAGGCCCCTGAACACTTATTGTATGGTCCTCTTAACGTGCTAGTGACACTCCTGCTTTTCATTGGGGGGATGTTGCATCGTCTGCCAAGTGTTTTGCTTTCGTGGGGAGTGATTTTCGTGTGCAAGTACGGTACTAGTCCCTCTAGGATTTTCCAGGTGTATATAATCATGGTATCTCTCCTGCCTGTGTTCCAGGGAATACAGGTTTAGGAACCCAAGCGCTCCCAGTAATTGAGGTGTTTTATATCTCCGTTATGCGCGCCGTGAAGGTTCTCTGTACATTTTTCTAGGTCAGCAATTTCACCTGCCTTGAAAGGTGCTGTTAGTGGCAGCAATATTCCCAGCCTAGATAGAACAAGTGACCTGAAGAGTGTCATCATGGGCTTGGCCTCCCTAGTTTTGAAGGTTCTCATTATCCATCCTGTCATTTTTCTAGCAGATGCGATTGATACAATGTTATGGTCCTTGAAGGTGAGATCCTCCGACATGATCACTCCCAGGTCTTTGACGTTGTGTTTCGCTCTATTTTGTGGCCAAATTTGTTTTGTACTCTGATGAAGACTAATTTCCTCGTGTTTACCATATCTGAGTAATTGAAATTTCTCTCATCGTTGAACTTCATATTGTCTTCTGCAGCCCACTGAAAGATTTGGTTGATGTCCGCCTGGAACCTTGCAGTGTCTGCAATGGAAGACACTGTCATGCAGTTTCGAGTGTCATCTGCAAAGGAAGACACGGTGCTGTGGCTGACATCCTTGTCTATGTCGGATATGAGGATGAGAACAAGATGGGAGCGAGTACTGTGCCTTGTGGAACAGAGCTTTTCACCGTAGCTGCCTCGGACTTTACTCTGTTGATGACTACTCTCTGTGTTCTTTTACTGAGGAAATTATAGATCCATCGACCAACTTTTCCTGTTATTCCTTTAGCACGCATTTTGTGCACTATTATGCCATGGTCACACTTGTCGAAGGCTTTTGCAAAGTCTGTATATATTACATCTGCATTCTTTTTGTCTTCTAGTGCATCTAGGACCTTGTCGTAGTGATCCAATAGTTGAGACAGACAGGAGCGACCTGTTCTAAACCCATGTTGCCCTGGGTTGTGTAACTGATGGGTTTCTAGATGGGTGGTGATCTTGCTTCTTAGGACCCTTTCAAAGATTTTATGATATGGATGTTAGTGCTATTGGTCTGTAGTTCTTTGCTGTTGCTTTACTGCCCCCTTTGTGGAGTGGGCTATGTCTGTTGTTTTTAGTAACTGTGGGACGACCCCCGTGTCCATGCTCCCTCTCCATAGGATGGAAAAGGCTCATGATGGGGGCTTCTTGCAGTTCTTGATGAACACAGAGTTCCATGAGTCTGGCCCTGGGGCAGAGTGCATGGGCATGTCATTTATCGCCTGTTCGAAGTCATTTGGCATCAGGATAACATCGATAGGCTTGTGTTAACCAAATTCTGTGGCTCTCGTAAAAAAATAATTTTGATCTTCGACTCTCAGTCTGGTTAGCGCTTGCTAAAAATTGAGTCATATTGGGACTTGAGTAGCTCACTCATTTCCTTGCTGTCATCTGTGTAGGACCCATCTTGTTTAAGTAGGGCCCAATACTGGACGTTGTTCTCGACTTTGATTTGGCATAGGAGAAGAAATACTTTGGGTTTCTTTCGATTTCATTTATGGCTTTTAGTTCTTCCCGCGATCCTGACTCCTATAAGATTCCTTTAGCTTAAGTTCGATGCTTGCTTTTTCTCTGACCAGTGTCTCCCTAACGCATTTCAGATATATTGACCTCTTTTAGCCGCTCTGTTATTCTTTTCCGTCGCCTGTAAAGGGAGCGCCTGTCTCTTCTATTTTACATCTACTCATCCCTTTTCTTAGAGGATAAGCCTTGTGCATACATTGAGTGCCACCAAGTTAATCTGTTCTGGGCATAAGTTGGGTCTGTGTTGCTTAGTATATCTTCCCAGCTTATATCGGTTGGGACTTGGTTTACTTGGTCCCACTTTATGTTTTTTATTGAAGTTGAATTTGGTAAATGCTCCCTCGTGACTAATCTCATTATGTCGGTCTGGGGCTCCACGCATACATGTCTGAGCCTCAATTATGTTGTGATCTGAGTATATTGTTTTTTGATATGTTGACATTTCTTATCAGATCATCATTGTTAGTGAAGATGAGGTCTAGTGTATTCTCCAGTCTAGTAGGCTCTATTATTTGCTGGTTTAAATTGAATTTTGTGCCGAGATTTAAAAGCTCGTGTGAGTATGAGTTTTCATCAGAGCTGCCTCCTGGTGTTATTACTGCAACAATATTATTTTGCTATATTCCTCCATTTTAGGTGTCTTAAGTTGAAATCCCCCAGGAGCAAGATGTGGGTGCAGGAGCTGGAAGATTTTCCAGACAGTGGTCAATTTTTAACAGCTGTTCCTGGAATTGCTGGGATGTTGCATCCGGAGGCTTGTAGACTACCACAATGACTAGGTTTGGTTCTCGACCTTTACTGCTAAAACTTCCACTACATCATTTGAGGCATTAAGCAGTTGTGTGCAAACAAGTGACTCTGCAATGTACAGGCCAAACCCCCCCCCCCACCCCTTTTGCCTGTTCACTCGGTCACATCTGTATAGGTTGTAACCTGGGATCCATATTTCGTTGTCCACGTGATCCTTTATGTGGGTCTCAGTGAAAGCCGCGAACATTGCCTTTGCCTCTGCAAGCAGTCCACGGTGAAAGGTATTTTGTTGTTTGTTGCTGGCTTTAGACCCTGTATATTTGCAAAGAAGATGTCATCGGACTGGTGGTATTGTTGGTACTGGGGGGGATTTTTTTTCCGGCATTAGGATCTGTATCTGTTGGTTTGGAGTGGAGGCCATCGACTGTGGTTCCACTCCAGGAATGACTGGATTTGGTGTACATTTCTGCCATTTCCTGCCAGTTTTTTTTTCCTTCCTGGCACTAAAAAACCTCTCCCTCTTGAGTGGCTGTGGCTACCCAGGTTTTCCCATGGCCTGGATGTTTTGTATCTTTTTGTCCCCTTTAGATGGTGTGCCTGGCAATTTAAGTTATAACACAGTCTTTCCTGTACTGAAAAGGTACACATTTCAGGGTGAAAAAGCTTACAGAATGGAGTTTGCATTTTCCTGTTGCCAATGGGCACGGCATTTTCTAGGGTGGTCATAGTTGCACGTCTTGTGTGTTTTTCCAGATTTCCCATGCCTGCAGATACCAAGTGCATAGTATGTGCACAGGCTTGGTTTCCGTTTGCCTTGGTTTCTGTGACTGTATTCCCTGTTGGTGCATGTTTCCCTGTCTTATTCCTATCCTCCCTAGCACCAACAATGGAGCTCCCACCATTGTTTTTGGTAATATATCCTCACTATTGCTAGTGAGTCCTCTGTTTTGCTATTTCCTGTGGTATTTCTAGTTTGCAATATTGGTTTTATCTTATCTTTGACTACACTTGTTTTCCCCACTACGGCTCCTGTCCCCTATGAGGTCATTTATAATATTCCTTCCTGCGTAAAATTCCCGACTACCTGGACAAAATCTCCATGCTTCACCATTACTGTCTCCCAGGACAGCACCTCCCGCTTCACCATTACTGTCTCCCAGGACAGCACTATCAGCCCCACATTTACTGACTACCAGGACATCACCTCCAGCCTTACAGTTTCTGACTACATGGCCAGTATCAAGGGCAGTACCATCCAGCCCAGACTTTTTATGTTCCCATCTGTTGTAGAAAGCTTCCAG